AGATTTCCCTCTTTTTCCTTTGCCCTTGGAGCCTGTGCATTCCCCTTGTCCTGCAGTGCACAGCTAGTGGCACACAGGCTGCAGGAATGCTGTTTGGTGAGCTGTGGGGGCAGATTGCTGGGAAGAGGGATCAGTTAGGTAGGTGGACATAAATCCCCTTTTGTTGCTCTAAAAACACATGCCTTGGACCCTCTCTGTACTGGCAGCATCAGCCATCAGTCATTCAGGTGATGGGACAGGGATGAGAGCAGGCCTGTGAGCTTTATTCCTTGGGATTCCTGCTGTCCCAGGGCTCCTGGCTTTGCATCTGGTTGTGGTTTACGTGGTGGGTGGACAGAGTCTAAAAGGCACGCACAGGTTTGTTCAGGAGGCACTTGTTCTCTGTCTGTGCCCAGCCCTTGGCATCCACGGACAACTTTTCTGTGCCTCTGGGCACACCTGAGTGGCTACATCTGCACTAGGCAGCTGAAGCCAGCTGCTGTCGTGTGGTTTGCACCCAAACAGGAAGCTCTTCCATCTTCCCAAAAACCTGCTGGCATCCCAGGAGCAGCGGGGCTGTCCTGTTCTCCAAGCCCCATCCAACCTGGCCTTGGGCACTGCCAGGGATGGAGCAGCCACAGCTTCCTTGGGCACCCTCACCTTGTCTCTGGAGACCAACGTGCAGCCCCTGCTCTGCTCTCTGCTCCTGCTGGACTGGGTGTGGCCAAGGCTGGTTTTGCCTCCTGGGGAATGATTTATGCCCTTGGCATTCAGGCCGGTTTCTGGGAGGGTCAGGAATGCCTGTGCTGTAGGTGAAGATGTCACCTTATTGTCCTTGACCATGTTCATGACAGGTTTGGATAGTCACCCTGTGTTACTCCTCTTCCCTTTACACTTCCCTGTTCACAGCTTTCTCCCTGTTGGCACAGCTCTGGTGTGTCCAGGTGTGGAAAGCCAAAGCCTTCAGCCTCTGACTGCCCTCAGCTGCAGCCACTCAGCTGCCACTGTTTTATGGCTCTGCTCTTGGAATCAGCCTCTCAGGAGGCCCAGGGGCTGAGGCTCACTCAGAAACTCTCACAGGCTTCTATGTGTCCAAGATCAGGGAGGGAAACTGTTGAGGCTGGTTTGAACCCCTCAAGGAGATCATGGAATTATGCAGTTGGGAAGAGAGGGGGCTTCAGCTGGCCCAAGAGCCTCTGTCACTTCCTGGTGCAGTGCATGATGCCAGAGCTGTGCCTGCCTTTGCTGCCTTCTCCCCTGCTCCCACCTTGGTTATTTTCTGTTTTCTTTTATGTTCTTGTTCATTTTTTTCCCTGCTCTGCCTCTCTCGTTCCTTCCGCTCTGGTTCTCCAAGGGGACCCCTGCCCCAGCACGGCCAGGCTCGCACAAGGTCACCACCAAGGCACAGGTGGGTTCCTCTCCTCCAGTTAAGTTTCTTCCACTTCACCTTGATTCTCTGGTCTCACAATAGGTGTCACTTTAAACACCCTGCCAGGTTTTTAATGCCACAAGATCCAGCAGAAGTCAAGGAGTTCACGTTTGTCAGCTCCATGGGGTGGGGAAGGAGGTTTGCAATCATCTGGGAGTGCAGGGAGGGAGCCAGCACTGCCATCCCTTCCTTTTGGGCTGGCAGAGAGGCCTTGCCATGGGACAGCTGAAGTGGTGATGGCCTCTTGTTTCCTTTCCTTCAGGAGGACTCGGGGGATAGTGAGATTGACCTGGATGAAGATGACGATGAGGAGGATGATCTGGAAGATGACAGCATGGAAATCTCCCCGAGCAAATCCCGTCACCGAGCAAGGAAGCCAGAGCCACTGGAGCAAAGTGATAATGACTTCTGACTCTTCAGTTGCATCTTGAAACACAAACTTTGGAGAGAATGCAGGCCAGGAGCAAATATCCTGCCCTCTGAAAAGCACGTGTCAGCATGAATTCAGGAGCTGGTAAATAATGTTCATTAAACTTAAAAATTAAACTTGGATTGCCAGGCTTGTGACTCTCAAAGCATGAGCAGTTTATCCATCATGAGAGTCACAGTAATGTGATGTTATTTCCATAATTGCACTAAACTGGCTCTCATGCACTGCAGTGCCAGAAGTCTCACTCCAGTGAGCACTGTGTGCCTCATTTCCCTGCATTTTATTATGTCCAAACAGACTTTTTTGGCTTAATAAAACTGGATGAAAAGCTGCTTTGGGAATGCATTTCAATTGATTTTAAATCTGGCTTAAATCTATTTATCCTAAACATATCCTTTACCGAATCAAGGGCTTGTGTCTGCTAAGAGCAGCTCCAGTTGGACTGAAGGAGTGAAGGTAAAACTGGGAAACAAGTGAGGAGATCCTCAAATACCACCAAGAGTATTTCAGCTGTGACAATGGGAGTTGTCTCAAACTTCAGTGGACTGACCTTGAGTGTCCTGAGAGCAGCCTGAGAGATGTGTGGTAACTAAATCCTTATTAAATTAACCCTTTTGTTATCCTGGGGCTACTGGGGTAAACTCAGATTTAGGCATTCCAATAGGCTCGAGTAAAAAAGAGGCTTCATACCTTGTAGGCACAGACCCAGAGCCTCTCTTCAGGCAGCACTGCCACCTAGCCTTCCAGCATGGCCAGCCAGGTTTAGGGAAGCCACAGTTTTGTGTTGCAGCTTCTTGTGCCAGGCCAGAACAGCAGCACCATCAGCAGCCACGCCGGTGCCAGCGAACTGAGCTTTGGGCTTAGGATGTGCAGCCAGGGCAGAGGAGCACAGCTCACCCCATATGTCATGCACTGCAAGGGGAAGGCTGCACAAAGCATCTTCTCGTCCAGGAACCAGTTTATTTCCAAGTTTATTTCCCTGTTTAATTTATATCCACAGCTCAGCCCAGTGTTCCTGGTATCAGCCCCGAGGTCCCTGCGGCAGTCGGTGCCCTGATTGTGGCAGTGTCACAGAGTGGGCTCTGGCTGGGGTGGAGTGGGGAGGGGGGCAGTGGCTGGAGGGGACTCAGGGAGGTTGCATAGTTTGGCTACTGGTTCACCTGCAAACCTGGCACCTTCTGGAGAGCCACTGGGTCTGTGCCACGCACACAGAGCCATCACCTTTCAGCAGCCTGCCCAAAAGGTGACCTGCTAGGGCAGACCTTGCCTGCAGCTGGGACATGGGAAGGACACATCCCAAGGTCACACAACTTGTCACTGATGGCAACAGCAGGAGCCCCAAGAACTCCATCCTGAGCTTGAGGAGCAGCGAGCTAAGGCAGTCCTGGTGTAGCACCCCGACCTGTGCGCTGGACACAGCTCGTCCTGCACTGCTGTTCCTCTTACATTTACCCTCCTGCTCCTCCCATTTTCCTGAGGACTTGTCATTTCCAAAGGCCTTTCTAGATGGCTCCACTCCTATGCCTTGAGTTGCCTGTCTCTTCAATAGAGAACAGCTCTACCAAACCCTTCAGGCATGTCTGCCCAGCACCAGCCTGTTCCAGAGGGCACAGCAGCAGCTGGCCCAGGCTGTATTTAACCAGGTGAGAAGGGGCTGCTGTGAACCCTGCCTGCTTCTCGCCCACTTCTTCTGGGATCCTGGCCTGAAGCAGAAGACAGAGAAGAGCTGGCACGGGGAGCAGAGCCCTGCAGCCCCATCAGGGGTGCTGCAACATTTGCCCACAGTGACTCGGGTTGGGACAGAGCACAGGCCCAGGATGTACCTTATCCAAGTCAGGGTCCCAGCACAGCACTGTAACCCCACAGAGATCACAGGAGGGGTTGCTGCTGCCAGAAGATAAATCACCCGTGAAACCAAGGTCTGGCATGTGGGGTCTGCCCCCTCCTCCCTCCTTTTTGCATTTCACTCATTCCTTGAAGCTCCCCCAGAGCCTGGATGAACAGGGACACAGGCATCCATCCCTCAGCCTTCCACACCAGTGAGTCTCGACCCTCCTGCACTGCTGATCTGGACACCCTGGGCCACACCAGGGAGCTCAGGAGCTCTCCTTGCCCCAGTTCTCTTCCCTGAGATGGGGACCAAGCAGCTCCCTGTGGAGTCACACTGGCCAGAGGGACCCCCAGGGCCCCCTCCTCGCTGCAGCCAGGCACCCTCACACGTCCACCACGCAGTTGGGCGAGTTTGTCCGGATGGCGTCCGAGATCATCTTGGCTCCCGACTGGCCGATGCGATTCCCCTGCAGGCTGGGGGCGAGGACAAGAGGAGCTCAGGCTTGGACACCAGGCAAAGCAGGATCCTTGGTGGGCACGAGGGATGCTCCCCAGCTTTGCACCAGCATCACCTGCACCCTCCCCACTCCATCCAGAAGCTCTTCCTGTGACGCCGCTCCCAGGGGACTCTGGGTTTGAGAGCCTGAAGGCTGGGGCCAAGGTGAGGAGCTGGAGGAAGCCCCTGGGGGGAGCTGGAGGGGCTGAGCCACTTCTCCCCTGTGATATTTTGGAGAACACGTGGCTTTTGAGGTGGTTCTTTGCCACAGAGGCATCCCTGAAGAGGAGCTGTGGGGGTCTGGAGCTGTGTGGATATTGTGGCTGTCATGCCTGGAGGAGCATGGGATGCCCCTGCCCAGTTGGGGAGCTCCCTGTGGGGCAGCCAGGAATGGGCAGTGCCAGTGGGATAAAGTCCTGGATGGTTCCCACGGTGTCCCCCACCTCTGCCTTTACCACTTACTTGACGTAGGTGAGGCCGTGGTTGCCCCTCAGGGCGGTGGCGATGCAGATGGCTCCGTCCATGCCCAGGGAGTTTTCCTGCAGGCTGAGGAAGGCAGGAGGGTCAGGAGATGTGGGCACCAGGAGGGACCGCGTGGCTTGGACATTGTGAAAAGCCACCCCCCTCAGGGCTTTGTCCCACTGAGAACCAGTGGGCTGGCCATTTCCTCGCTGCTCCCTCCAGGAAGGTGTGGAAAGGCTCTCCCTGGCTCACCCCAGGCAGCGGATACTTACTCGAGCCGGCGCAGGCTGCTGTTCACCCTCAGCGCATTGGCCATGGCCTTGGCCCCTGCCACGCCGATGGAGTTTCCCCGCAAGCTGGGAAGAGAGGCAGGAGGTGAGGAGGGACAGCCTGGGATGGCCCCGGGGGGGGAGGAGGGGGGAGAGGTGATCCCACACCAGCAAGCCAAGTCTGGACACGATGCAAGGATGGAGGTGGTGCTGAGGCAAGGACCAGAGTCCCAAACACCCCAGGGATCATCCCCCACAGCCATGGGGACTTGATGGCCCCACTGAGCACTTACTCCAGGATCTGCAGGCTCTTGTTGAACATCAGAGCTTCTGCCAGGGCTTGGGCACCAGCTGGCCCAACCGAAGCCATTTGCAGGCTGCAAGGGAACAGGGACCCTTCAGCGCGTGCTGGGAGGCGGCCGTGGGGTGCTAATTGCACAAGCTAATTAGGCTGCAACACCAGGGCCCCACCGAAGCCAGGATACTCACTGGAGATCTGCCAGGGTCGTGTTGACCTTCAGTGCCACAGAGAGGGCGGCCATTCCCTCGTCTCCGATGGCATTTTCCTGCAAGCTGAGACACCCCAGTGCTGCGTCTGCCCGTGGCCTGTGCACCCAGGAGCAGGGAGAGGGGCAGCGAGCACAGGGCACAGCGTGCCCAGCGTTCCCAAAGGCTGTGGGCACCCCAGGCCAGCAGGCACTTGGAGCAGCCCCAGACAGGCACGGGCAGTGGTGACACAGCAGCCTTCCAGTACCTAAAGGGGCTCTAAGAGACTTCTGACAGGCACGTGGAGTGTCAGGACGAGGGGAAACAGCTTCCCACATCCAGAGGGCAGGGTTAGATGGGATGTTAGGAAGGAACTCTTCCCTGTGAGGGTGGGCAGGCCCTGGCACAGGTTGCCCAGAGAAGCTGTGGCTGCCCCTGGATCCCTGGAAGTGTCCAAGGCCAGGTTGGACGGGGCTTGGAGCCTGATCCAGTGGAAGGTGTCCCTGCCCATAGCAGGGAGGTGGAATGAGATGATCTTCAAGGGCTCTTCCAGTGGGAAAGTGCTGCCACAACCCATCTGCCCATGTCCCCACTTACTCAAGGCTGGCCAGGCTGCTGTTGGACTGCAGTGCTTGTGCCAGGGCCATGGCAGCTTTTGCCTGGATGAAATTCCACTGCAAGCTGCAAACAGGAGAAAATGGGAGGTGAAGCCTGGAGCTGTGAGTGTGCCCTAATCCCTCCAGGCTCCGCAGCCATCCAGCACGGTGGAGCCTGGGATGTGACCCCTGGGCAAGACCCCACGGGTCCATCCAGGATGGCACAGCACATCCCCCACGAGTGCCACTCCCACAGCCTTGAGGGGCTGAGGGCCAGGAGCAGTGTCCCTGCTCTGTGGCCACTCGAGGGGCTTTCAAAGCCGGCCAGGTCCAGGGGGAAACTCACTGCAGGGATGTGAGTGCCCGGTTGTCTTTGATGGCTGAAGCGATGGCTCTGCCGCCTTCGTCACACAGCAGGTTTGCCGCTAAGCTGGAGACAAGGGACAGAGGGCACAGTGTTTGGGACAACTCCAGGGATACCAGGCAGAAGCCTGGGTGCCCTCCTGGGGCCCGTGGCACTTACTCCAGCTTCCTGAGGGTGCTGTTGGTCCGCAGGGCACGAGCGATGGCAGGGCCCCCCTCCTTGCTGATGGAGTTCTCACGGAGGCTGGGGGAAAGACATGGGGGCTGGGAGGAGCAGCAGAAGCAGGAGCTGCTCCCTCACAGCCCCCTTCGCCCCCTGCTCTGGGGCTGACACCACCTATTTTGAGGATGGCAGTCTGTCTGACTTGAAACTCCATTAGCATCAGCACCTTCATTCCCTGCATCTCCATTCCCTGCGTGTCCTGTGGACACTGGTGGCCCATCAGGGCTTTTTCCCAGCCTCCCATCCCTGCTGCCATCATTTCATTCCAAGCCACGGCTGAACAGATACTGTCCCAAGTGGGGAAAGCTAATGACGAAGATCCTCAGAGCTGGGGGAGGGACAGAAGCTGCTTTTAGCATCCCAGAGCATTTGTGGAAAGAAACAGGAACAAGCCAGAATGCCAAAAGGTTCCCACATCCCAGCTTTTGGTGGCTCAAAAGACTCACTTGAGGCTGAGGAGTCCCTTGTTGGAGCAGAGAGCTGCTGTCAGTGCTGTGACCCCTGCACTGCTGATGGAGTTGCTCTGGAGGCTGAGACAAACAGGGAAGGTGTGAGAACAGCACAGTCTTGGCGTCACAGGTAGGCTGAGGGGTCATGTTTGGGGTGAAAAGTGCCTGTTTCAGTGAGAAATGAGCATCTCCCAGCTACAGGAGGTGGGGGCAGCCAAGGCAGGAGGACCAACACCAGGAGCAGTCAGGGCAGGTTCAGCATCTCCTGCTGGCCACAACAGCACTGCCCCCAGTGAGCAGAGGTGATGGGGTTGGCCAGCACTGAGGGGCAGCCTTGTCCCCACCTGGCTGTTACCACAGCTGCCAGCTCAGCTGGGCAAGTTTTGGTGTCCTTGTCACACGGTGGGAAGCCAGGGACACACCCAGAGCATGGCCACTCATCACCAGGAGCCACCAGGCCAGGCAGGAGAGGTCTCTGGCTGCTGCTCCCAAGGGGAATGAAGGTTGCACCATCCAACCCTGGCTCTGCCAGGCCCTGGCCTGATACCTCTCTCCTTAACCAATCCCCATCCTCTAAAGCAGAAAAACAACTCCTCAGTGGGTTGAAGACTGTCTTTATCAGTGCTCTCCTGGTGAAGGCACTGGCTGCTGCTGGAGTTGCCATATGGTGCTCCATCCCCCACCCTGTGCCCCTCCAGGGGAGTGTGGAGTGGGAGAGACATGGGGAGAGTCTGAGGGGTTGAGGGGTGGGAGGTGTAGCTGGAGGGAGGAGGGTGAGCTCTGCTGGCAAGAAGGAGTCCAAGCATGGAGGGGGAACTTACTCAAGGCTTTGCAGACTGTGGTTCACCCTCAGAGCTTCGGCCAAGGCAACAGAACCGTTGTCTCCCACTGAATTGCTGGAGAGTCTGGGACAGAAGAGGAAGCACTGGTGTTACCACAGTGCCACCAGCATGGATCTGCCAGCAAGGGATTCACCTCCCCCAGGCTCTCCCTGCTGCAGCAATCAGCATGAACTTGCTGTCAGCTCATTCCCAACCTAAGTACACCTCTGTTCCCACAGGGCCTGGAGCCTCTGCCAGAGGGAAGACTTGGCTTCTCTGTTCTTTCAGTGTCCCCCTGCATCCCCTGGAGATACGGAGAGCATCTCCACAGGCAGCACTGCAGCCCCCGCCCCCTTCACCCTCACCAGCCGCCTCGGGCAGAGCCAGCAGTGCCCATCCTGGACATGCCATGGCCCAGCCCCCTTCCTGCCAGTCCTGCCCGCGGATCCCGGGAGATTTGGCTCTGGCATCACCTCCCCTCTGCCTCGGGCTGTGCTTACGTCAGCTCCCTCAGGCTGCGGTTCTGCTGCAGCGCCTCCGCGATTTTCCGGGCGCCCTGGGCTCCGATGGCGTTTTTCTGCAGGCTGCAAAGGGGGGAGAGAGGCACCTGTGAGTGTCAGGCGCCGTGTCCCCATCAGGGACACCTGGCTCTGCTGGGTGGCCAGAGAGGGGACAGGTGGTCCTGGCCACTTACTGCAGGGTCACCAGCCTGTGGTTGGTCAGCAGGGCCTCGGCCAGGAAGGTGGCACCGTCCTCTTTGATGGTGTTGTGCTGGAGGCTGCAGGGAGACAGGAATGAAGCCACGTGCAGATGAGGGTGAGGGGCCATGCAGGGCTGGGGGGCGGTGGCCACTGGCCCTGGTGTTTGTTTGCCCTCATCCCTGGCATGAGAAGGGGTCTGGTCCCAAATCATCCCTGCCCAGGGGGCTCCCTCCCTCCTCTCCCCTGGGAGGTGCCTTTGTCCACGCAACAGCACTCTGTGACCTCCCATGTGAGGGATGGACCTCAACTTCAACCTCAAGCTCAGCCTGAACCCGGGCCCACCCAAGCTGAGGGGCAGGAGAACCCCACCATGTCTGGCCCAGGGCTGGTCTGGTCACCATCTCAGTCACCTGCTCTTCACATCACTGCCCAGCGTAACAGAGCCAGGCTGTGCCCAGGGTCTGCCCACGTGCTGGCCTCTGGAGGTTGGGAAAACCTCAGTGGGACAGATGAGGGATGGCAGGAGGCTTGTCCTGGGGATTTGCTCCTGGAGGAGCTGCAGAAGTGGAGACTTACTTCAGGGAGAGCAGGGTTTGGTTCTTTTTCAGCGCATCAGCCAGCGCTCTGGCTCCGGCGGGGCCGATGGAGTTGCTCCTCAGGCTGGGGCAGGACGGGCAGAGAAGCCAAGGTTAGCAAAGGCACTGGCACGGGCTGGCATAGCCAGACACCTCCCCATGGCACTGCCCAGGTGGAACATTGGGCTGGCAGCTGGCAAGGGTAGCCTTCATTCACCTCTGAGTGGTGGTGGCTTTAGGGGCTGAAGACCCTTCCAAGCTCAGTCAGGCTGGGTGGGATCCAGCCCCAGTGCTGCCCTGGGAATGGTTTAAGTGGGGAACACGTGCATGGCACGAGCTGGGACAGGGGGAACACTTACTCCAGCACCATCAGGCTTCTGTTCACCAGCAGCGACCTGGCCAGTGCTTTGGCTCCCTTGTTGCTGATCTGATTTTCTGCCAAGCTGCCCAGGAAAAGAAAAATGGGATGGTTTTTTGGAGGAGAAAGAGACTTTCACAGCTCCTGGCATATCCCAGGATGCAGCTGGGATGTGTGAGCAGAGGAAAGCCATGTGGAATGTTTGGTTCATGGTACAGCCAAAGTTGTGAGTGCTCTGAGGTCTGCTCTCTGGGCTGGGCACCAGGCAGAGGACTGCAAGGACAGGGTAGAAAGGGCGTTTCTAGACTTAAAATTAATTTGTGTCAGGAAATGGAGCTCAGATCCCAGCATGGGGGACTCTCTGCAGCCATGAGGAAGGGCAGGGAGGTGAAGAAAGTGGGGAGGTCAGGAGCCTGTTCCCTTCATACATCAGATCCTCCATGCAGAGCCTCAGGTGTCCAGCAAACTGCTGTGACCTCAGGAAGCAGTTTGTTGGGATAACCTGAGGAGGCAGAAGTTTCAGGAAGGCTGGGCAAAACAACCTGCCCAGCCACCGTGAAGACATGGGGTAAGGTCACTATGCCCTGGTGCAGGAGATCATGTGGGGCTGTCCTTGCCAGGAGGCACCCAGGGAGCCAGTGGGAGACACTCCTGGAGGACCCTCACACTGGTTTTGAGGTGTCCCCAGGTCCACGCTGCATCCCCAGGATATTTGGTCTGCCCTGGGCCAGGTCCTACCTGAGCTTCTGGATCTGGCAGTCCTTCACACTCAGCACACTGCCCAGCAGCTCCATCACATTGTCCTTGAACTGATTATTGTCCAGCCTGGAGAAGACAGGAGAAAAAAGTAGAGAAAGGAGAACCCTCCCATAACATCAACCCATCACAGGTGGAGAAGCTCAAGGACAGAAGGCAGAGCTGACTCGGTGGTTGTTGGTGGGTCCATGTCTCAGTTGAGACCTTGGAGTCACATTTGAGTCAGGGGGGGAGCCTTCCAGGACTTAAACAGGGCTTATAAAAAAGAGGGAGAGCAACTTTTTACATGGGCAAATAGTGATAGGAGAAGGAAGAATGGTTTTAAACTAGGAGAGGATCTAGATTACAAGTTAGGAAGAAGTTCTTCCCCCTGAGGATTGTCAGGCCCTGGCACAGGTTGCCCAGAGAAGTTGTGGCTTCACCATCCCTGGAAGTGTCCAAGGCCAGGCTGGACAAGAGAGCAACCTGGGCTGGTGGAAGGTGTCCCTGCCCATGGCAGGGGATTGGAATGAGATGATCTTTAAGGTCCCTTCCAACCCAAACCCTTCAGTGATTATGAGTCACAGCCCAGCATCCCTGCTTGCTTTTCCCAGCGCAATCCCCCCAGGACTCACCTGAGGCTGTGGCAGAAGAGGAGCTGGGAGAGGAGGCTCTTACAGACATTGTAGGTGAGGCAGTTGGACAGGTTTGTCTCCTCCATGCAGACGTCAGAGGCCTGCAGGAGATAAGCCAGGGCAGAGCAGTTGACAGGGGTGAGCATCCCGGCCAGGCTCTTGTTCTTCATGGCCTCTTCCACGGCGTTGGCGATCTCCATGTGCTGGATCTCGGACAGGCAGCGCACGGTGTTCACCGTGCGCAGGGAGATGGCGTAGTCGGTGTTGAGGCAGCCCTGCAGGAAGGTGATCGCTTGGCTCCTGAAGCCGTTCTGCTCATCCTTCACCAGGAGCCACCCGGAGAGCAGCTTGTTCACCTGCGGGGAGAGGAGCCCGGAGAGGAAGCGAACGAAGATGTCCAGCTGCCTGTCCTCTGCCTGCAGCGACCTCTGCACGGCGCTCTTGAAGTGGCTGAGGAAGCCCAGCTTGGGCCAGGACATCCCGCTCTCAGTGAAGAGGTCGAATATCGCCCGCTTGGCCGCCGTGTAGTAATAAAGAGCTGCCAGGAACTCCTGTATGGTTAAGTGGGAGAAGTAGTAGGCTGTGAAGGTCTGCATCTCCTCCTTGAGCAGGAGTCGAGTGCCCAGGCTGCTCTGCAGCAAGGAGAGGTCGATGCCGTGTGCCTTCATGTCCTGCTCGTAAAACACGTGTTTCTTTCTGAGCAGCCCGTAGAAGGCCAGTCTGCCCAGGCTGCCCACTATCTTCTTGCTGTTGCTCACAGCCTGCTCGATCCTGAGGCTTTCTCTTGGCTTTTCTGGCCAGTCACTGCTCAGAGCCATTTTAAAATAATAGGAGTAGATTTCGGAAAGGGTCCTGGGGACAACGGTTGTTTCTTGGGGTTGACCCGCGCTGGTTTTTAGGTAATGGGCGATCGAGGAGCCAGAAATCCTGCAAAGGCCAGGAACAGTGCACAGGACACGTAACGACCTGTTAGCTCTGATGTGCTGCAGGACCTGGCTGGAGAGGTCTCTGTCATCCAGGAACATCTGGTCCAAGAAGTCCTTTATCTCCGCAGCCCCAAGCCCTCGTATCTCCGTCATCCTGTCAACCAGCCCCGCGGGGATCTGTGCGGCCGCCGTTGGCCGCGCTGTGACCCAGACGGAAGCCTCCTGCAGCAGGTTGCCCCGGATGATGTTGGTGATCAGGTTGTCCACCTGGATCTCCTTTTTGGGGTCGGTGCACACCAGCGCGTTGGAAAAATCCAGAGGGGTCTTGAACTCATCCAGGCCGTCGAGGATGAGCAGGGTCCTGGCGGCTCCCGCCAGGATGCAGCTGGGCTCAGTGATGTGAGGGAACGCTGAGCAGATGAGCCTCTCTGCAGAGAGCCTCTCGTGGGTGTTGAGCTCCCGGAAGGTGAGGGGCAGCACAAACAGGACATCCCTGTTGATCTCCCCCTTCGCCCAGGTGTAGACAAACAGCTTCACCAGCGTGCTCTTGCCAATCCCAGCCACGCCGGTGGTGACAGAGACCCGTGGTGGGATGCTGACCTTGGAGAGAGGCAGGAAGAGCTTCTCCAGAGGGATGCTCTTGGATGTGTTTGGCAGGCCTTTGGTGGTTTCAATCTGCAGGATGTCGTGCTCCTGCTGCTGGATGTCGGTCAGGCCTTCCACCAGCAGCAGGTTGGTGAGTCTCTGCAGGGCACCTGTCTCCAAGCCGTTCCCACAGTAGCTTTGGAGGCTCTCCAGGTGCTTCTGCACCATGGGCTCTGCACAGAGAAATGAAACAGGGGGGGTGAGGAGCAGGAGGAGGGTG